TGCTCATTGAAGATCGATTCATATGTGGTCTTTCTAGATCCCTTCCAACTGGGCATTCTTCAAAAATGAGATCCTCTACTTGATTAAAAGCTTCAGAAGCTAGGGTTTCTTCTCTGGATACTTTATTCTTTATTCCTAATTGTATCTCTAACTCGGATAATGTTGGAAGTCTTATTTCTCTAGATTCATGTTGATCCTGATCCCACTTGTTAGCATCTTCATCACTAATAAAATCATAACCCTGCAAATTTCCAATAATACAACCTGCATTTTTAATATGCGGTGGGGGTTTAGGAGTTCGGGTTTCTTCTCTGTATGCCTGAGTTGATGGACCAGGACCGGCTTCGGGATCCTCTGGTTGGGGAACTTTTGTTTTCTTTCGTGATCTAGTTTTAGAAGTACTTTTATTAGAAGAATTTTTCATTAAATCAAACCATTCTGCATCTGTTTTTGGAATCTTTTTGATTGTAATAGTTGGATTATTTTTTATCTCCGGTTTTGCTAGCCAGTTAACCAAATCATCTATAGACAAATGAGTGGTCTCTTGAGCGTCTTGTCGCTCAACCCCATTAGGATCAACCACTTTTGGCTTCTCCTTTTGACTAGAAGTCTTAGAAGCTGAAGCTTGCTTTGGTATATCATCAGGTGCTAATCTACATTGATTTTTATTACTTTTGTAATGCTGACGAAGTTTTTGAGGTGTGGCAAAAGTCTTATTACAACAAATACATTCACGATTTTTTTTATCTTTTCTAACCATGATATTAAAATAAGTCTAACCTCTAATATATATGTAAACTTTTGCTCAATTTAAATTAATTAATCATATAACCTGAGCGTCTTGTCGCTCAACCACGCTAGGTCTCTAAGAAGGCGGGATTTTCTGGCTTCGAATTTATGAGAAGGTGGGCGCCGGCCATGCTCTGAATGTGGTAAGCCTACTGGGACAGTTTGTGGATGATGTCGCCTACATGTTAGAGGTCATTATCAGATCCAATATATGAACAGGCTTCGGGATAAAGCCCTGATGTTTGAT